AAAAAAAAAAAAAAAAAAAAAAAATCCAAAAAATACGAAAAAAAAAACTATGTTATGCAGAAAAATAAACTGAACAACTTTTGCCTGAGGGTCACATCGAGATTCTTTATCAAATTTAAAATAAAAAATAAATTTCAAAATATTTTATTACTTTTATTTTTATTTTTTTTTTTGGCCCGGCCGGGCAAGTGAACCCGGGCCACTCTGGTAGCCTAGGTTTTTTTCTAATTTTTTTGCACCTCGCTTCTCCAAGTATGCCGATTTTTTTTTTTTCCCCCTTTTTCTTATTTGGTGGTTCGAAGGACCACGGATCACATATTAAGCTGATAAGAACAGATACTACACTTGATCTATTTTTAGCCAAAAGGCCGAGAAAGGATTTTCTTCCGTTTTCTAATCGAAGGGCTCACGGCGCAAAATCAAAATTCGGGTACATCCCAATGGTGTTCACGAAACGGCACTACTAGTCCCCCAAATTTCCAGCGGCGGGGAAGTGGCGGTTTGTACCGTTTGCACTTCTGAGCCTCTTTGTTGAAGTTTCCACATGCCTGTTTCTGCTGTGCGCCGAGTTTAAGCCACGTCAGAGATTAGGAGAATGCCAACGAGTAGAATATTTCAGCCATCTTTGGAGGCAGGGTTTCAGAGTCATGAGGTGAAGGGAGTAAAAACTGCCCCGTGCACGGCGGAGAGCTACATGGAAAGCACTGAATGCTCAACACTGAACCATCCGTCCGAGGGCACGCTCACACCAGGACTTTTTTACCTATTTCGGAACAGAATTGCGGCCAGATGCATCCAGGCCTGACCGTTCATGGGGTCAGATACATACAGTTAAGATCGTGCTAGTGTGACTATGCCCTGAGTCGACTCTCTCAGCCTGTACAGAATTACTAGGGTCTACGACATCCCGGTGTAGAACATGAACACAGAGAGAGAGAGAGAGAGAGAGAGAGAGAGAGAGAGAGAGGGAGAGAGAGAGTGCAGCTGCCAGTGTCACTTGGCATATGAACAATTATCCATTCCTGGCCATACCAATAATTTAGAGGTCCCCGAACAATGGGCCTGTGGGGCCGGGCAAAACGGAAAATGGCCCAGAGAAAAACTAGGGCATACCGCAAACTTCGACGGCACACTGGGTACAACGAGAAGACGGGCGATTTTGGGGCATAACAAAAGAGTCTTCCCAAAAATAATGGTCGGCCATTCTTCCGCCCGTCAAAAAGAGAGGGAAAAGGGAAAAAAAAACGCCACAGAGCAGCGGTACCGAACATATATAAGGAACAAATCGAACCACAATTGGCTGCAAGCCATGGCC